TTAAGGACACATTTAATGCCCAAATATCTTCACAATCGTGAAGAAATGAAACAAAATTCTACCCTTAAGATTTATAAATTATTATACGATAATTATTATTTCATGTGGACTTGTCGTGACCAAGGAATACGTTTTCGTATTCTTGATTCGACTCGAAGAGGCCGATCAGATGTCATTGAAATTACACGTACGCGAATTGCCATTTCGCGTATCCGATGAAACGACGCAACGTTTCAGCATCGTTCGTCCTGTCACTCGTCGCCTCCGCGGCCGTCATTGCCAGCCGCCTCCGGGCGACGATGTCCGTTTAATGACCGGTCCGGTCACCGTGTTCCAGGTACAGTCCTCTGGCGGGTGACCTTCTCGCGAACTCGATGCTGCCCGGTAATACAATGAACGGCGCCGGCTGGTGCATCTTCGTGTACAATCTCGCCCCCGAGACCGAGGAGAACGTGCTCTGGCAGTTGTTCGGGCCGTTCGGCGCCGTCCAATCGGTCAAGGTCATACGCGACCTGCAGACGAACAAATGCAAGGGCTTCGGGTTCGTGACGATGACCAATTACGAGGAGGCGGTGGTAGCCATACAGAGCCTGAACGGCTACACCCTGGGCAACCGCGTGCTCCAAGTCAGCTTCAAGACGAACAAGAGCAAGGCGGCGTAGGACGAGCAACAGGCGGCAGCGGCGGCGGTGGCTGCGGCCGCGGCCGCGGCGGCGGACGCGGCGGCGGCAGCGGCGCCCTATCATCATCATCGTCGTCATCGGCTGCTACGTACCGCGGCGGTGGTACAGCTGCCGGTACCGGTGCCGGCAGGTCATCTTTACAACAAGCGAGGGCCTGGTCAGGTGCCGGGCGGTATTGGTAATAACATCAATAACATCAATAGTCACATCGGGGTCGGCGGCACCGGCGGCGGCATCCTTCATGGAGGAGTCAAGGGCCAACGGCAGCCGTTCCTTCAGCGTCTACCGTCGCGCATACACGATCTCACTCGGGCGATCGAGATGGCCGTCTCGGGAGCGGCGAATACGGCAACGCAGCAACAGCAACAGCAGCGTCAGCACGCGCAAGCCAAGCAGACCTCCCTGAAGAGCAAACCCAACAACAACCGTCAGGCCGGCAGCAAGAAGCTCCAGCAGAGCGAGAAAGTGTAGTTGTGAGGAGTGTGTGAGAGAGAAAGAGGGAAAGAGAACCTGAGCATATGTGTGCCTGTTGCGTTCGTCTGCGTGCGTGTGTGTGCGTGAGAGAGAGAGAGAGAAAGAACGATTGTAGAGAGAAGAAATGAAGGAAACAGAAAGAAGGCCGCGCGAGAGATACTTAATTAGAAAGAAGTAGGTTGGATCGTTCGACTGTCCGATATGTAATCGTGGACTGTGCGTGTGGAAAGCTCGAAGGAAAATAACGGGGAGGGGGGTAGAAAAAAGATGCGATATTAACGAGTCCTCTCGTGTCCTCTCATTCCCCTTCTTTTCCTCGCTGCGCTCTTCCTCTTTCGAGTTTCTGTCCTTGCGTCGTTGGTCGAAGACAAAAAGAAGGCACGCGAACAGGAAACATCCTTGGCGTCTTACTGACACAAAATCGTAAAAAAATTTGACAAGGAGGACGAGAGATCGAAGCGCGTTTTTGCCTTTGTCTTGCGTCCCTCCACATGCTACAAAATGCCGGATAGGAATTTTCGTTCCTAGTTACAAAGGCATAAATTTTCCTGACGCGCGAGGATGATAGGAAGATAAAAGATCAATTAAAGAGGAAAGAGCCGAATCGGAGTTTGCTTACTAGGTTTTACGCGTAACTCGCACAGTAATTTGTCCGTGCTGTATATACCTGTATATACATATTGCCGATTTATATGTATGTGTACGCGAAGGCATGCTTGTGGACCAAGTTGCGTCCGCGTGTGTGAACAGGACGACAGGACGGGGAGAGCTCGAAGCTCGAGGAAAGAGGAAGGCGCAAAAAACCGAGGAATGAAAGCGAGGAAGAAAGGTAGAGAGAAAGAGAGAAAAAAGGACTTTCCCTTCGATTAGCATTTGACGATGCGTCGAGAGCCTCCGCCGGGCATTTCGGCCGACCTTTATTTATATATTTTTTTCTCTACTTAATGTACATCCATGACCGGGTTAGTCACGACGATATCGGGCTGTGAGACTGAATCACACATCAGACACGCAATTAATATACACATACACACATACACATACACTTGCACGTACAAGTAGAACGATCACCAAAACTCGCGGTGTTAAGAACGGCGGGCTGTCGTGAAAAAGAAACATATTTCGGGACGCGCTTACACGAGATAAAACTCGTCGAAATGCGGGAGAAAGAGAGCGGATGGGTGGGAGAGAAAGGGAGAGAGTGAAAGGAAGCAAGAGAGACGGAAGAAAGAAAAGATAGAGAGGAGTATAAAAGAATAAAACCTCAGAGAAACACTCACACACAGTGCTTAGTAGTAGGTGGTTATACATACTCGTTTTATGTATAAGTTTTAGAGTATTAGCGTCGTGTGGATGAGAACGAGAGAGAAACAGGTGGGGAGTACGGTGGAGGGTACGAACGAAGTGCGAAGGGAAGGGAAGGAGATATCAGGGTAGGTTAAAAAGGTGAAATTGATTTCGAGGGTTTAAAAATGCGAAACGCGCGGGGGCCGTATGGTAATCGAGAGAAAGAGAAATACGAAAAAAAAAACAGGTATTGTGGGGCAGGGCTCGCACTCACGTACGATCGTACGGAGGAGATTTCAATGTGCGGGCACGATGTGTACCTTAATGTAACCCCGTAAGTTTAATAATTAGGATGTTACCGTTTGACGAGCATCGACGTATTTATTCTCGGGCGAGGCGGCTCCCCGGAGGATTGACGATTCTCGGGGCTCGGTATAGGTAGAAAGAGTGAGAAAGAGAGGGAGAGAGCATGGCCTGAGGGATCGCGAAGCGATCTAACCGCGTATTATAATAACCATTACACTTCGTGCTAGTCAGTACTCAGGTGGTCTCCATTGCCGCGCATACGTGCCGATGATACGCGCGTATGTAATGTGTCTCTTTCGTTTTCCTTTTTTTTTCTTTTTTTTATATAAGACGTATTTATTAGGTAGTAAAAATGCGCTTTCGCAGGATCGGATTCTCTGACTCTCGGCAATTCTCCGCGAGGATGCACCGTCCGAGAGGGTATTTTACGAGATGTTACGTAGCTTCGCGTCAAGCCTTTTATAGTTCTCCGAGAGATTCCGGGTAAAATCGGGAATAAGAATAAAAGAAGGTTTTTTGTCTGATAAAAAAAATTAAAGATACTTAAATCTTCGCATATACATAAATAAATATATATATATATACACAGCTTTTACACTTTGCAATACGTGAGACATCAGATAATTATTCAGAAGCGCGTGATCGCTCGAATATCGCGTTTGATTAGGTTCTTATGCTTATGCTAAGGTTCTTACGCTTTTTGTCGTTGATTAGTTGACGCTCCTGGGAAATATTCCCGCGCGAACATTGAGGATTACATCGATACGAGAGCAAACACGATGATAGAAGAAGAAACGGATGCAGTAACATCCGTTATTTTACTTTTACCTTTGTGTCATGAAACATCGATATTGTTAAATTCTCGTTTCAAGATTCAATATTACGAAAAAATTATATACTTTGCAGATTTATCGCGGACTGGGTCTCTTTAGAACTTTGAAATTCTAGAAGAGAAAGCTTCTCCCGTTTCTGCATGTGCTTCGAGGACGGTGCATGCGACCGGTATGTGATACGGATTAATGACAAGACAAGATTGGTTGACGTTCGATCTCAAGTCAGATTAAGGAATCACGCATCTAGTCTACGTGCAAGCTGCCGCGTCGTCGGTGCGGTTTTACGCGAAAGATAAAGAAAAGATAAATATCGATAGTGAGAAGCTAAAGGTGGACGCGACGACGAGCGCGGCCAAGTGAAACGGCGCGAAGCAGGCGAACCAGATTCCTCACGCTCGTTCGCGCGATTGTCGTTGCCATTCTTTTGAATGATTCGGTTTATCGAAACATTGATTGTATCGTAGACAAGATCCTGAAGCGATTCTCCGTAGCTGCTCGTCGCTTTGGTGGAATTGTTATCCTAACGAGACTTTGCACGACCGCAGCTCAAGGAGTGTGTCCGCAAGTGTAAGTAGTTCAGAAAACGCTTTCCGAAGGTGATTTTCTGCGATTACGCGCAGAGATCACGTTATCGAAGTGATTTTTCGCACCCGCTTCCGTCACTTCTCTCGAGTGATCTTTCACAACGGGTAGCAGTCCTTGATCCGCAATTGCGAACTCGCCTGGGACGACTTCTAAACGGAGAACGATCGATGGATCTCCAAATGGCGCGAGGCGAGCGTGAGGACGCGGATCGCGCGTACTTAATTGTGAGTGAAGCGATACGGTTAAGGGTAGATTTAGTCAAGGAAACCAAAAAAAACATTTAAACATGTATGTTGTCCTATTTATGTGTACCTTTTTGTGTCTAGTCCGGGAGTTGCGAGGAGACGCACGAGGGCGGAGGATACTGTCCCTCGGAAAAGTCGCGCGCGACTCCCACGAGCGTTGTGGATTTTCTTTTTCTAAGACATTACTTTATTTATTCAGAGCCGTCGCCGATTCGCGCGCGAATCCTTGCTCGATGAAGAACGCGGAGGCGTTGGGCGTCTCGGCGAGGCGCCAGGATCTCGAACGTTAGTGCAAATTAAGGCGTCGACGGGCATTAAAACGTCGCCGCGTAAGCGCAAACTCGCTGATCGGAGGATGTTCGAAGAACGATTGGTCTCCACCTTCATCGCTCATGATTATATCGCAGCACTATTATATACTAGAATGTCGCAATAGAGCGCAATACGTTTGTACGTGCAGACAGCACGTACGAGGCGTTTCCCTCGATTGATTCGCACGAGCGAACGGTGTTTTTTATTCGCAATTTGAAATATATATTTCGCGTGCTTGTCGCGCGAGCACCGATAGAATATTAATAGATCGTTATTGATTAGAGAGTAAATTAACGGCGTACTCTGATACGCCACTTGCCGCGAATGAGTTCGCAGCTTGACAGCTGTAATTTCACGCGGATACGTGAGAGATGAATCGTATCTCGACGCATCCTCTCGGTGGTGAGACGCATCCCATCAGCGAGACGCCCGTTTTTCGGGACGTTTCATATTACATATGTGCGAATACACATTTGCCATTATAATAATTATTCTTCTCCTTCTCACTATTATTGCCGTATTATTATATGATTATACTTATTATTCTGATTACTATTATTATTGCCATCGTCATCGTCTCATTATTATTATTAATTAATTATTATTATTATTACTTATGATCGTGTATATTTTCTGTGTCTCGTCTAGTAGCTTCGTGTAACCTCTAACACCTCATTACTTACTCTCGTATAATAATATTAGAAAAGAATATAAACAAGTACTTCTCTCACTTGCTCACTTAACATCGCTCTACTGTCGCCACTTTCTGCCAACCGCTCTATAACTATTACGTTGCTACTACCGCTATTGCTGTGTTACCACCACTACTACCACTTACTACTACTAACTACTACCGACTATTTATTTATTTATTTAATTATTAAATAACATAACAATTTATTATGTTTTATTTAAGGATTAAACTGATTTGTGTTTGGTTCAAAACGTCGTTTGTTTTATT